TTCAGCTATCAGAAGAGGAGTGAGAGATGTTTTACGGATGCTGTGGGAGTGACTTCTGGCACGCCCCAAATCATAGCCTTTCTGAATGATGAATTATGTTCCTGGATCTTAGAGCATAAAATTATAGCCCTCACAGTAAAGTACATATAACTATCAGTTAGTCAAATGGTCATTCACTGTACTAGTTCAACAGGGTACAGTTTTCACAACTGACTTCTCCCTGCTTTCAAAGAGCTGACAGTCCCGTTAGAACTTACAAACAGGGAAGCTGCATAAACTGGAGGGCCCAGTTCAAAGTGAAAACATGTGACTCTCCCTCATAGTTTGCTAAGAATTTCAGAGTTAACCAGAGCCTGAAACCAAGTATGGGCCCTTCTAAGGCCAGGGACTTGAGAGGCATGGAAGCATGTGCTCACGAACGTCATTATAGTACAATATGGTGATGCTTGTATAGAGATATGCACAGAATACTGTGCGAGCCGGGGAGAGGACAGCTGGGTCTGAGGGATGCTTGTCTGAGGAAGTGGTTCCTGGGCTACACCCTGAAGGCTGGGCAGCCCAGAAGCTGGGGGATCCAGGCGCGGGGAGCCAAGGGAAGGCAGATCTCTGGCGGCCACCCTCTCCACGCCAACCTGCCACAGCTTGCCACTTAGCTCTTCTGTTTTTTGTTTGTTAACATTTTTTTACAAGAGAGATGAAGGGGGAGAGAGAGAGAAACAACAACTTGTTCCACTTATTGATGCATTTGTTGGTCGATTGTTGTGTGTGCCCTGACCAGGGATCGAACATGCAACCTTGGCATAGTTGGGCAGCACTTCAACCAACTGAGCGGCCCGGCCAGAGCCGCTCTTCTGTTTTTAATCCCTGTGATTTCCGTGCGCCGTGTTCACCCTCTTCTTTCTTTGTCCATTTGAGACAGTGTCTATTGACCTCATGAAGGAGAGCTGAGGGTGTGGCTTTGGAGAACTCCCTCATCTCCGCGCTCCTCCCACAGTAGTGCAATCTTTCAGTTCAGTGTTTTCTCAGTTACTTGGGTGACCTTGTAAACTCCATGCGTACACTTGGTTTCTTGCAGATATGGTATCTCCCAACTCGTCCCCTGAAACCTCTCCTTCCTTCCCCTGCCACTCCCCAGATTCTCCAGCGCTCTCCAGTGGGACCTTCTGGACAGTTTCAATTGCTTTAGAGCAGGAATCGCAACAACATGGAGGAATTAGATTCCTTCATAATGTAGCTGGAGGTCGGGGTGGGCTGCTGAGGACCGTGCACAGGGGCTGTGAAAAGGCTGGGCCAGGGTCGCGGCCCCAGTGTCCCTCCCCGAATCCCAGGGCCTGCTGCCCCGCTCTCCAGAAGGAGAAGGGAGAGCCTGCTGCCCTTCCTCCTCCTCCTCTGTCATCCCACCTTCCTCCAACCTGCTGAGACCTCCCAAACTCTAATTTTCTCCCTCCAGCTTTACTTCTGCTACTATGAGTTTATGTAGTAGTTACACTTTTCCTATCATTTTAATGGAGTCTTGGGAGGGAGGGAAAAGGGCAAAAAATGGTTCTGTGACCGGCCCGTCTTGAACCGAAAGTGCAGACACCTGGAGGATTATTCCATTTTTATAAATGAGGCACCTGGGCTCGGAGAGTTGAAGGGGCCCCATTCCTGGCCCCTTAATCGTTGTGAATGACATGCCCTTTGAGGATTCCTCTGGCGATGGCATCTGAAGGCCTGATGAGGAACAAGCCCCTGCTGTGAATGTCACTGAATATCTTTGACACCATCTAGTGCTTTTGGATGCTCCGAAGGCAGAGGATAACTCAGTGTAGGGACAAGATGAGGCAGCACCTCCCAGAAACATAAACTTAGGCAAGCAAGACACTGAGGGAACTTCCACTTTATTCCTGGTCAAAATGTACAGCGCCTTCTTCTAATCCTTTCACTCCTCCACAGATGTAATTTATTGCAATAATTCTTACTTTCCCCTAAAAGGAATACAAAGAAAATGAGAGGAAGTCTGAGACCAGAGACCGAAGCTTTTAAACTCTTATTAGCTATTCTCCAAAGGAAAGCTTTCACCTAGTAGTAACTTGTTATATGTTCTCCCTTTCTCTGCTCTCCCCACAGTGTTAGTTATTTTTAGCCCAGTTTGTTACTGACATTTGGATTGCGAGGTACGGGGCTGTACTGGGATGTAGGCTGTGTGTAATCTGTACATTCAAAAACTTCTGCAAAGGCAGAAACACAAAACATGCCCCACAGAGGATTTTTACTCTGCTGTTGAAAATGTGGCCCTTAAATTTATTGCCAGTTAAACTGCCAATCAAGTGATGCTGGTTTCTGTCCATTGTTATCGGCTCATCTCCAAACTAGGAAGATCTAAACTCAGCGGGATTATTTCCTTCTCTACCCAGAGCGACGCTTTCTCCTCACCCCCCTGGTTGTTGGAGACGAGGAAACAGATGTTCGTTTTGCCCTGGTCTAAGTGGCTCCCGCTTACAAAGAAGTGATCTGCTTGGGTACAGCGTGGACTGGTGGGGCTGCAGGCCAGGAAGCCCTGCCTGGTCATTCTCAGGAAGGAGCAGATTCATGGAGCATCAAGCGTAGAAAAGCCAGAGTCAGGGAGTTCTGAGCCTAAGGGGAGGAAAGTCCAACTCTGGACTTGTTTTGAGACTTTCTCATGCTTTTGTTTAGGTGAAGAGTTGTTCTTTTTATTGAAATGGCTTCAGACACCTTCCAGGTCCTAGGCTAGTTTTATGGTGCTCTTTAAGCTGTTGCTTACATGTTCATTTGTCTGTTTCTTGGAAATGGAATGAGGAAGGGTCATGAGGTTATCAGGGCTGAGCAGGGCGATCTGGGTAATGACCAGTGCAGGCTGCAGGCTGGTATGATGCCTGGATAAAACTCCCAGACTTTCTTTCAGTGCTTCGACTAAATTTCTGATTTTATCTTTAGACGAGTCTTCCCTTTTGTTGCTCTTTGCCTGGACAGGGACAACTTGGGTTTGAATAAGATTTTCTATACTGGGTTTAAATCTGTAAGACAACTTCCCATAAGCCCTTCCTCTGGAGTGTAGACTGGACCACATGACTCGCTTCTGAGAAAGAGAATGTGGCCAAGGTGATGTGACACCACTTCTGAGAACGGGTTACAGAAGACAGGGAATTCTGTCTCGCTCACCGTCTCTCTCTGACAAGCGGTCCATGAGATGTCAGGCATTGGAGCAGCTGATTCAGGGGCCAAACCAGTAAAGAAAGAGTTAAGCCTCTGACCACTTACCGTGAGAGCATAAGCAAGAGTCCACAGCCGGAGGAAGTGCCCGCTCCCCCTGTTCCATGTCCCCGTGGAACGGTGCAGGTGTTGGGGGGTCAGGTAGATCAGCAGCCATGCGGGGTTGTCGCACCGTCGAGGACGTCCCCCACCAAAGGCTCTGGCAGTCTTACGGACCCTGAGGTACGTGCATGTGTGGGAGCGGGGCCAGGACATAGAAAAGCACCGACAGAGTCTCAGGGAAAGTGGCTTTGACATTTCCCCTCTGCCCTTCGTAAGGGGGCCTGAGCAGAGATGCCTGAAGAGGACCTTGGCCCAAGGGCTCAGATGAAGACACCTAGGAATGAAGGCTTCTGGGCTGGGAATGTAAATATACAAGAGAGCATGACTGGCCAGGGGACCCTGACCTTGACTGCAACTCCTCTCAGAGGCTGTGGGATGCTGGTTGTCCCTGAGTTTGGCATGAGGCCTGCCAGGGAAAGCCTTTGTGATGACCTACGGGCAGGCCCAAAAGATCACACAAGATTTTAACCAGGAGCCGGACCCCTGAATCTCCTCTTTCACCACTGCTTTTGCATCCTGATGAAGCCAGCTGTCATACTGTGAGCTGCCTTAAGGAGAGACCCGGGGTGAGAAACAGAGGTGGCTTCTGGTCAACAGCTAGTGTTGAACTATGGACCGCAGCCCCATGGCCCATAAGAAACTGAATCCTTCCGACTACTGTGTGAGGGCGCTTGGAAGAATTTCCTTTTCCAGCTGAGCCCTGTGATCACTGCAGACCTGGGTGACCCTTGGACTGAGACTTTGTGTGAGACCTTGAGCCAGAGAAGCCAGCTCAGCTGGGTCTGGATTCCTGACACAGAGTCTATGAGGTAACAGGTGTTTGTTGGTTTAAGCCTTTAAGTGTCAGGTGTAATCTGTCACACAGCTGTAGATAGCTAATAGCTAACACACAGGCTCACAATGTACCGACCACACTTTGGAAAATGGCTTTGGGCCTGAGCCTGGTTCTGATGGCATGTTGTTGCCTTTTCTTTGAAAGGGGAGTAGGAGTATAGTCAGATTGTATTCTTCTCCCAAGAAGGTATGGAGAAACAAGAGGCTGGTGGTGCTGGAGAAGTGGAAGGGAAAGAAATCATTGGTGATGAGTTCAAATATCTCTAACCCTCAGTCTGCTGGTTTTTCGTCTGCATTTGTGTTGGGAAAGAACACTTTTGAAGTCAGAGAATCTATTATGTGTGCCATGAAGGCATGGCAGGAAGGTCAAGACTTATTTTTATCCTAAAATACTTCTTGACAATTTATCTGTACTCTCTATTTAGTAGAGTATTAGGAAATAGGAGGAGGAGAGAAAGAAGGGGCATTTGAATGAAGAGAGTCTAAAAAGATGTTGATGATAAAAAACATGGCATCTCAATGAAATATCCCAAGAACGGCTCTTCAGATGATCTCACCCTCCGTGCCTGGGAATAAATATCCTTACCTGAAAAACAGGAAAGCGAAACCCTGTAGGGCTCTATACACACGCCCTGGAAACTAACGCACTGGGTCATGTTCAGTGATCAGTGTAGCCAGACAGGTGGGACGTGTCTGCTCGGCATGGATGGTGTCCTGGGTTGGGAATCAAGGACAGGTTCAGTAATAGTAACGAGGAAGAACAATAAAATTGGGGAAGTAGAGCTGACACTTCCCCTTCTTTTGAAAGAGCTTTCTTTACTCTCTGGTCAGCTTCTAATGGTAGTCCTGTGCTCACTGAGCCTCCAGACAGGTGGCTGCCCAGAGTGGAGCCCTCACCCTTTGCCTCAGAGTATTATGAGTTTGCTGAAACTCAGGGAGAAAGAGCCAGCGCTTGGATTTACTGTCTTCTTATTGCATGTAAGTAAAGTTCCTCCTTGGTGGATCTGTAAGTCAGTGCTTGGCATTTTGAGATGATAAGGCAGTTGATAGCTTCACTCTCTCTAGAACAGTGAGTTCTGAAATGGGGGCTCTTGGGATATGGCATTTTTGCAGCTCTTTATGAACCTTCTGCTGTGAAGTCCAGGGCTAAAGGCACTCTTCGCATCTCGAGATTTGGAGGAGTTTTGTGCTCACTCTGCTTTGCTCTGTTTTTTCAATGGATGTTGTGTTAAGGACTGCTCAGACTGCAGATCATGGGTGTGATTTAGAAAAGAACAATTCTGCATTTGTTTGGGTCCCTGAGGAGTTCGTTTGAGGAAACACTCTGTGGCTGCCCCCTTTTGAGAAAGTGTGTTTTTTGTGGAGAATCCCCACTTTGTGTGTAGGCAGCTGGAGGGGATTTTACTTTAACAAAAGTCACAGGCTTGACAAAATATCTCTGTATGAATATGAGAACTTGGGTGATGTTGCTTCACAGGTTTTTTTGTTCCCCCAAGGGCACCTGGAACATTTGGGTTTTTTGCTGATGTATATGTGAAAAAAAATTGAAGTGTAGGAGTCAGAGTCATAACCCACGAAGGCATGCGTCCTGGACTGCCTTAGGCTCTCAGCACCTGTGCATTCATTCCTAATGCTGTCCTGGGCATTGTACCATCACACAGAGTCTGACTCCTTTGCAGCTATTACTTTACAAAGAAAGCAAGCAGAAAAAAACACTGGTCTCCTCCTGCTCACATCACGCATGTGAGCAGGAAAAGGACTTCAGTTTGTGCGTTTGTTGGCACACTCATTCTTTCATGTATTTTAAAATTTCCTTTGTTTTCTTTCTTTACATATCAGTGTCTTTTCTGGAGAGGGTTCACGTATGAACAATCATTTGCATTCATCAAATACGCATCATCTGAATATGGAAACAGGAAGCTCTTTCCTGTGGTAGCTTGCTGTGGCAATGAGTGATAAGAAATTACTTCATGACTATTGCTTGAGACTTTCCTTTTGACTCGCGTGTCCTTCTTGAGCAGTTCACTTCTGCTTTCCATCCAGTGTGGAGGTTAGGCCGTACGAGCCAGCCACCCGAGCACAGGTGGACAGCTTGCAAGCAGATTAATATGGCAAGGGGTGTGTGAGAGCAAATCCTAAAAAATAAGTTTTTTGTTGTTGCAAAAAATCCCGCAAGTGGGGGAATTACGGTCCTCTTCGTGCTTATCCCAGTGCCTGCTGCAGAGGATGCTCTCTGTTGATATTTGCTGAATGAATCAGTGAATGAATGAATGGTTGGGACTGTTCCTGAAATGAATGTGGTGGGGTAGCCTTTGCTTCAACTCAGGTGCCCAGGCCCATAAGCTATTGCAGGTTGGAAAAGGCCAGAGTGAAGCAGGAGAGGAGGAGAACAGGAAACTGGGAATGGGAAGAGATGAGAAGAGGTGATAGGAACGTGGGGGTGAAGGCGGAGACGGAGGTTGTGGTAGAAGTGGTGATGATGGAGATGGTGGTGCAGAGTCGGAACTGGTGATTGAGGTGATGGTGGTGGTGGTGGTGAAGGTGGTGGTGACAGAAGGGGTGGTGATCGTGGGAGAAGTAGTGGTGAAGTAGAGGTGATGATGGGGAGGACAGTGTATAAAGTCAAGAGAAAACACCGCTTTAGGGCTAGACACAGTCATTCAAAATCTGCATCTACCACTTACTAGTGCTCTGCCCTCTGACCCTGTAAAGTGATGGTTGTAATGAACTTACCTTTTTGTGTCACTGAGTGGAGAGTAGAAACACTGGAGATGTGGTTGCACAGCGCCTGCCACCGCATGGATCTTCACTAAGTGGCAGGTATCAATATAGTCTTTTCAATGTCCAAATGCACAGCCATACTTAAAAATGTAACCACCAATTTATCTTGCCCGCTTTGTACTTTTTCATATTTTATGAACTTCCTACAATGAGCATGATTTTTTAAAAAGAGTTATTTATTATAAATAAGTAAAAGCCTAGTTATCAGTGTGGTTAAGCCCATGGTGGTATATGTATATAAAGGAACACCATCAATAAAATGATGTTCATGGGAATGTGACCAGGATTAATGCTAAGTGAAAGAAGCAGAAACACAGCATTTTCAACTATGTAAAAATACTGTAGAAAAGCAAGATTGAGGTAACATGTTAAAAGGTGACTATATGATCAAAGTGGATCTATAACCGGTAGTTACATCAGTGTTTCTACTTTCCTATTTTTTCCCCAATGTTTGAAATTAATGGAGTATATCTGGACTACCTTAGTCATCTGATAACAAAATCAATGTTGATTTAAAACAATTGAACAAAAAATATAATCACCTTTTAATGTTTCACCAAAACTATGGCAAAAGTTGCTTTTTCTTTATAGTGTGCTAAAGTTTGTGGTCTTTGCAATCTAAGAGAGGACACTTATGACTCATGTTATTTACTCATTGTGGGGGATCCCCTCTGAAATGCAGACTGGTGCAAAGTCCTGTAATAGCCCCAAAGTAAGGAGAAGCAAACAGGGATCTCATTCAGGGCTGCCTGGTCTAACTAGTTCCTGAAGTCCCATGAACACGGATTACAGTCTCTGGATGATTTATGACTCCCTCTAAACCTGTGTAGGATGACTTTCTAGGAAGTTCAATAGTCAATTCAATAGTTAAGACTTCTAAATTAAATTTAAGACTTGCCAGTGTAAGAGTAGTTCTTTTTTTTAGAGAATGTTGACTTATCAGCTTGGTATACGTGGGGAGAGAGCAGAAAAACTGTTTTCCTGGAGTGGAGAAATACCTGCTGTGAGGGACTTGGGTGCCTATCTCACAGTGCAGCCTGTCACCACGACAGAGTCCCTCCTGTATGACTTAGTTGAAATCAGCTATTTTGGTTTATAGGTATTAAAATGAATCTGCTGCCTTTGTCTCAGATATGATCAACTGAAAGATACTTGGCAGACAAAGAGGCAAAAAGATGAACAGGTGTAAGCAAAAGACAGGTTTCCCAAAGAGACATAGATGTTAAAATAGAAGGAGTCAAAACCGAAAAATTTGCCAGTTTGAACTCACCCCATATTACTAGAGTGTATCACAGGTGGCAAACACAGGGCCCAAGGGCCGCTCCAGGCCTCCACCTTGTTTCTACCTGGCAGAAGCACTGAGATCTCTCTTAACTATTAAGGAGTAGTTACAATTACACGGTCCTAAAATTACATTTGGCTCTTTGAAGGCAACTGAGAGGCTGATGTGGCCCCCGGTGAAAATGAGTTTGACACCCCTGCTAGATGAACACTTTCAAAAAAGTCCAAATTAAAAAAAAAAATAGTCGACCAGATCTTCAGTGAAAATTAGTTCAGATTAGAAATGAAAGAATTAATTAAACGGAACCAACCTTATGCCCAGTGATAAAACCCAAATAACCCAGTGTGGAATATGAATTAATCTAGAAATTGCAGCATAGTTCATATGGTCCATAGCATTTTCTGACTATTTCATGTGTGGAACACTGAATAAAAACCGGTGATGTTACTGAATACTTGCTATGTTCCTTCCAGGCATTACCAGCAGTGCTTTTTAGTTTTACGTGAACAACTCTCAAAGCAATCACTTCTCAGAACAGTCCTGGGAAACAGCACTGTTGTTATCTCCATGGAGTTGAAGCTCAGGGAGGTCAAGTGTCCCATTGGAAGCTGTCTGCGAGGCAGAGGCAGACACGGGACGAAACCTAGATCTTCATGTGTCTCTGAGCCTGTGGCCTGAACTGCCATCCCACAGGACACCATGTTGTTTTGATTTATTTACTTTTTTAAAAATGTAAAATAGTGATTAAAGGCCAAAAATTAGGAGCAAAGGGGTGATTATGAATAGATACACTTTCTACTTGGAAATGTTCGGCAAAATTCCTTTCTGATTCCTTACCAAGGAGGTAGTGAGAAGGAATTTTTCCTGATTTTCAGGGAACTTGCTGTGTCCCAACATGATTGCATGTAAGTGGTTGTCCTTGTAGCCTGGTTCATAGGCGGCACAGTGGTAGAATGTAGGGAGTGCTTTTGGACCAGCAGGAACAAAGGGGACTGCCAGGCAGTGGCGGTCATGTGCATCAGAAACATCCTGGATAGTCCACTCTGGTCAAGACACATGACAGTTCTAGGATCCCTCCTGCTACCCTTTTCATAACAACACGTTGTTAAGTTTGAGAACATCCAGTTCCTATGCTGAGAATCAATGGCCCCACCCTGGTGGTCTTTATAACAGGCTCTAGTTATTCATGGGAGCAGCAGAGATCTAGGTGAGAAGACCTGAGTGATCTGCCTGGGGTACGCACCAGCTATGTGCTACCCAGAAAGGCGCATCCCTTCTCCACACTTAACTTATCTCATCTGTGGAAGCTGAGACTACCAGTATGGTTTGTTGTGTGGACCAACCGAGATGAAGTGGAAATGCTTTGAAGAAATTAAAAACAATGCATACCAATGGGGCCTTCTGTCTCTGCACGTATTCCATTTTCTTACCAGGTAGAGACTCAGTTGGCATATAAATGTTTTACTGGCAGAAGATTAGAGTCAAGGTAGTAGGGTGTGCTCTGGGTCGACTTGTCTCCCACCATCCCCAGTGGTGAAGCCCTAACCCCCAGGACTTTGGACTGTGACCTTATTTAAAAACAGAGTACTTGTGGATATAGTTAGTTAAATTAAGACGAGGTCATCATAGAGTGGGCCTCTCATCCAATGACTGATGGTGTCCTTAGAAGTTGGTCCTGTGTGAACAGAATAACAGTGGGAGAAGGCCACATGGTGATGAAGACAGATATTTGCAATTAGGCTGCTGGAGGCCAACAAATGCCAAGGAGCTGCTAACAACCTCCCGAAGCCCCAGAAGCCCAGGGAAAGGGAGGGAAGGATTCCCCCCTTCAGGTTTCGGAGGGAGCAGGACCTGCCCCCTGGCACCTTGATTCCAGGCCTCTCATCTATGGAACTGTGAGAGAATAAATTTCTGT